AGAGGCAGGGAGGAAGCAGAAAAAAACGTAGATGCTTCTCCCCACGTGAGTCCTCCACATCAGCCTTCCCAGGGCAGCCAAGATTCATGGTTTTACAGCCTCACCATACCGCGTGGTATTGCAGTTCTTGGGGCTGCTCTTGCTCAAGCTTCCCGTGGTGCTGCCCTGCTCTACCCTGCGATTACTGGAAGCAACACAGGAAAATTCCCCACACCTAAATTTCTCAGAGAGACTAATCCCCATCCTAATCTGGCACATTTCTTACCAACTACTGTTGGTCATGGAGTCCTTAAAATGTATTTGTTCTGCGAACCTCGTTCCTAGGAGGCTTATTGTGTCCAGGCAATATGCAGGGCCCAGCTCAATGTTATGTGTTCCTTTGGATAGCAGGAGAGCCAAGACTTAAACGCGGTAGTGCTGAGTGTTTCAGTGACTTGTTCTCCGTTATAAATTTTACCCTCTTATCACTGGCAGTCAGTGGAGCAGCACTGTTAACCCAGTAGGAAGCGGCTTGTGTTTTTGGAACAAAATATTCCCATGCTGCTTGTATGTAGCTTAGCTGGTGAAAACAATGCTTTTATCTATCACAGCTCTTTTAGATAACCAGGTCTCCTCTGCGTTGTTCTTGCTGAAATATTGCCTGGAGTTTCTATACAGATGTTCAGGGCTGAACTCTGTCCCTGGTTGCCCATCAGTCGTGCAGGTTGTTCTTGCAGCGCCTAGCAAAGGCACGACAGCTCGCGCTGTGCGAGACCTCGCTGGAGGAAGCTGCAGGCTGGAGATGTGCGTGCTGCAGGCATGAAAATCAGACTTCTGTTTGCGTGGCTCCATTAAGCAGACATGTTGCTGCAACCGTGCCCCCCTTCTGTGATCTTAATATCTGAGACTGAGCGGGGCTGAGTCAGGGCAGTTCCTGCGTGATAAACTCTTAGTGGGTGGTGACCTCCCAGGCATTGGCATAGCAGATTTTTGACCCAATTTGATGTGAGGAATAATGTTAAGCTCTTTGGGATGCTGCTGTCAGACCATGTTGGATGCTGCTGTCAGACCACGTTGCTTGTTGACATGATTTAGGCCTTGGCTCATTTCATCAACCGAGAGATGCTGATGCTCCTGATCAGGGAATGGCATTCAGCCAGACTCAGATACCTCCTTCGTAGCTTCAAAGCCAAGCCGTGTTTCACGTCTCCGTTTGCAAATCTTGTGCTGCATTCATCCCACAGAACAGCGATACTCGCATACCTTGTACACGCACCTCCTTACAGCGGGAACCATAGAGAATATTGACCTCCATGCAGCAAGTCACTGCAAAATATTGGTACAGGTCAGCGCACACTCAGAAGCCTCCTTAAATGTTGCATAGCATAACACCAGCATAAGTGTGCTATGCTCTGTACAGAGGTGATTTTCACACCAACCCTGCGTGCAGTATAAAATAGTCCTTGGTTACTCAGAAGCTTCAAGGAATTGCCCTATGCAGGGTCTGACTTTGTCTGCAAACTGCAGTGCTGGCCTTTGGGATAAAAAGTGCTTACAAGCATAAGTTATGACAATAGCCAGAAGACTTTCCCCGCACTGTGTCACAGGGGTGGTGCTCACAGACACACACAGCCAGGGAGAGAAGGGGCCCCTGGCGGGAGAGTTTTCATGCGAGCCCAGCACTGACCCGTGCAGAGCGAGAATTCTCAAGTTACAGATGGAGGGAGGAAGAGGATCAGAAAAACAGAAATGGTTTGAAGATCAGGTGATGAAAAGTGGTAGGCTGGAGTTCAAAGACGGGATTATTGGCTAGTGTTGCTTTAGTTGTTGGTGGGGGAAGAGCTTAAGGCCACAGCATTACTGCATTGCTGATTTATCAACACAGCCAACACCGTGTATGGTATTTGAGTCACTTCTAAATCCAGCCCCTGGTGATGAAAAGCACATTTAATCCGTGTGTTAGATTGTTTGAAGAGGTATCTGTCTCATAGTCTCTCCCTGAGGTTGGGATTCCTGACGCTGAAAAGAGGTAAGAGAGGAAATTTTAACTGTTTCACAAACTCTGGAGGTGGTTTGCTTTCCAGTATCATTTCTGAAGCCTGGGATACCGAAAAATGCAAGGCAGTCTGCCCCCCTACCCCCTGCAGAGAGAAGCCCCTTGTCCCTCTGTTACTAAGAGGAAAAAATCAAAGAAAGGATATGTATTTAAACAGAGTTTATTGCTTTTAACAGCTTTATTTTTTTGCTGAGATTAATGCTCTGCACTTAGGAATTCCAGGATTCATTTGCACTGTTGGCTCTGATCCCTCTGCAGCAGCCCAGCACTGCAAGATAAAATACTGAAAAGCCTCATTTATTAAAGTAATTCTCCTTTGGTCTTTTTCTTCAGTTCTCTTCATGAAAACAGCATCATTGTTTGCCTAGCTCCCTCAACGGTTAAACCTGCTTCTGTTTAATACCCTCACGCTCTATTAGTGTGCCAGCAGCTCACACTGGCCGTGGGAGGTTACAGACTGAAGCACCATCAACTTCCCTGCTAGAACAGTCACATCAAGTCTGAGCTGCACCTATGGAGTTAAGCAAATGGCCTGGAATAAGGATGCGACAGTCACAGAGCAAACTTAAGTTACAAGTGCAGGTCTGCATGAGATTGCCCAGGGCATCCAGACTGAGAATTGCAAGAGAATCCGTAAGTGGACTGAGCGACAAAAGCTCTGGAAGAGCTGCAGAGCTGAGGAATGACAGTAAAACACGTTGTTAAAACGTAGGGTGGTTCAGTTCAGTAGGGGTGCTTGCTGACAAAACTGTAAGGCAGTGGGCTGGCACAGCAGGCTCGTAGCACATCATGCCTCAGCTGTGTGTACCCCAAATTACCTGGGAAGCCCCTACACTCGAACAACCGCGGTTGCTGTGGGACTGGTTCATGCGGGATGGACAGAGCTGCCTGTGACCACTAACCAATTTGCCTTGGCACTGCGTAGTCACAGCCATCAGTCACATCTGTCACAGGAATACAAATTCACCTATAATAACCGTTAGTACCCAAAAAAGGGTACTAACAGAATTCAAGAGGAAACGCATGAAGATCCTTTTATAGTTATAACTGGGATATAACAACTAATATCCGGTGGCATTATGGTCCCTCTTACAGGTTGCTTTGTCTGGGCATCTTTAGCTACGTGCAGAGGGAGTCTGCAAGCAGGAGATATACAAAACCTAACAGTACAAAATAATTATTTATTGGCTAGCATACATAGAAGCTAGGTAGGATATAATGAAGTATTAGGCTATGTCTAGGCATGCATTCGCATGCTCACTGCCCCTGTAGTGAGCACCCGAAGAATCTTTGCTTGCCAAGCAAGCATCAGTTGGGAGGGGAAGAGTCAAACTCCACAGCTCCCTGGGATAAATCCTCAGTGGTGCTGAGTTGCCATCTGCCACCAGCTCTGTCAGCACTGATGGCACCGAGGATTCAGCTCAGTGACCCTAATGATCCTTGACTAGTCCCCAGCTGGACTGACTATCTCGAATAATCCTTTTGGCTTTTTCCCCTGAGATTTATGTCTTTCCATGTTGGTGTTTGCCCTCAGGAACCCTTGAGCTATTGATGATCCCATCTCAACAATCCTACTGCTGTATGTACTTTTTGCCTTTCTTATCTCTATAGATTTTCTCCTAGCTCTTTCTCCACAGTCTGAGTCAAGGTTACACAGCTGTACCATTTCAAAACAGGGCCCTACATCCTTGATATATAGTCAGCTAAAAGGCTGGGTTGCCTTCAGAGAGAAGCTTATTGCTGAGGTTATGGTAGCCCATTAATTTAAAAATGGCCTAGTTCTGGAGCATGCTCTGTGTCAGATGAGGTCCTGTCTCAATTTTAACAGAAAAATTAGGAAATAGCATCTCGGCTAGAGTTGTTGTCAGTATGGTTTCTTTCTAGGGCTTTCTGGTTAAGAGCATTTGGATTGAGCGAGCTGGCAGTTCCTCCTTAGGCATAAAGGAGAGCTTTGTGAGAGCTGAGGTTAGGTAATGGAGCTTTTGGCTTGCAGATCATTGCTTCCAGGTGAGCCTAGATTAGTAACTATGAACATTGCTTTTGTGTTGGTGATGTCTGGTGTTCTTCAGAAATGGGATTGCAAGAAGATCTACTAGCAGTGCACTTGCTTAGGGTGGCACTACCCAGCCATGCCTTGTCTGGCCCCTGGCAGCCTCAGCTGTTGGGCTGCAAGGACCAGGAACCAGTAACTCTCCTGATCATAGAAGTGGTCCTGCTGGGGGTACATCCGAGGTATGTGAGCAGGAAGTGGTGAAGAAGCGAAGCTCGTGTTGCCACTTCCCCTGCCACATCTGCTCGGTTGATGAAAAGCAGGCTTTGCTTTGCGGGGCTGTCTGGTACATATTTCGAGCCGAGGTACGGTATGTGCATGCCTTAAGCTTGTCAGTGCTACAGTTTCACACTCTGCCTTCTCTGAAACACGGAATGCAGCCTTTCTGCAGAACAGCTTTCCGTAGCTGAAAGTTGTGGTCACCCATGCTAAAACATCACACAGAAAAGTCTCTTTTAACCTTGTGGCTTCTGTCCAAGAAAATTTATATATATTGCAGGCTGTTCCTTTTGTCCACAGCTTGCCTTTATCTTGGGATAAAGAGTTAGTCACTGAAGATGGCAAATGCATGCAGTCACTTGTTTCATTGGCTTGGTTTGCTTAGAAGGTTTTCCCTGCTACCAGCTGATTTGGGTGAAGCGTGCAAACCTTTCCGTGAGATTGATGGGGAGAAGGAGATCTTTTGGAATGAGCACATGAATGAGTTTGCTTGAATTACTGACCTGAGTTATAGCTTCTTGGCCATGCTGTATATTCTAGCTGCTAACGTCTTTTTCAATGCCTAGCATCTAATGGCTAATGGTTGGTGTACCCTCACCCTTGCACAAATCACAGCATTGCCTGTAAGTTTGCTATAAGCCAGACTTAGTAGTCTTAGTAGCAGCTTACAAACTTGCAGCTTACACTTTTTTCCAGCTTTCCAGCTCCATAACAAAGACACAGTATGGAAGCCATCGCCAAGTTTGATTTCTGTGCTTCGGGAGAGGATGAGCTGAGCTTCCAGGCTGGGGATATTTTGAAGGTAAGTGTGGCCTGAGCATGGCCCCAGATTTTGCTGAAGGACAGTTATTAGCTTTGAGAGTTCAGTCAGATCTTGCTGTGCTTCCATTTGCATTGATAAATCAAATTGATTGAGATGTCTATAAACTGAGTTACAAACATGAGACAGAAATCTCCCATAGAGTCTTCTATTGATGGAGTAACAACTCCGAGATCACTCGAGTCTAGGTCCGCTCCACTTAATTTTAAATCCCTAGACTATGGATATAGTTGCCCTACAGTCCTCCAGGAATCAGCAGAGAAGGATAAGCATGAGCGGAATGCTCAAGTTTCTGTATTCATCAATAAGGGGGTTCTCCACAGTTTGGCTGAAGAGCAGGACAAAGGGAGGGGAGACTGAGTGGAGCCATGAGCCCAGAAGGACAAAAAGAGCCATCTGCAAGGAGATGGGGCCTTTACAAAGGAGGGAAATAGGGCAATTGCCCCACATTCTTCAGCAAGGGGGACAAAGGAGTTGGTGAGCTCAGGTGAGAACAGATGGCGGGAGGCCGGAGTTCGGTGTAGGCGGGCCGGGAAGGCTGTAACTTCTGAGTACCTTGGCCAATGGGGAAAAGGAGAGGGCGTCCCTCGGTCGGGAAATTAGGATAAAAGGGGGGCTGCGTCCCCCAGCAATTTGAGAGACCCCACAGGGATATGCCCGGTGGACTCTCCCTTTATTCGAATAAAGTTTTAGGACTCCTCTGTCTCCTTTTGGACATTCAGTTCTTGACAGCGAGATTTTCCGCACAAGCATCTTTGCTGGGGGAGAGATTCAGTTCTCAGACAGACAGATTTTGAAGTGCCTGTCTCTTTTCATTGACTATATAGGTAGTCTAGAGTGACTACATCTGAAGATAGGTAGGATGACTGTAGGCTGTAGTGATTGCTATCTTCCTTACTTCCATCTCTTAAGTTGTTTGAGAGATGGTTATCATACATTGCAGAACTTATATCTAACTTTTTTCAGTGTAGGTAATTACACTGAACCCTGTGGTTGCCACAGAGCTTTTATGCAGTTGCAAATGGAAGAGGAAATGTCCACAAGACCATTTCTGTTACACACATCATGGAAGAGATTAAGAGATCCTGGGCTAATAATCCTCTATATCACTCCGGCAAGAATTTAGCAGTGGAGAAATGCCAGAGACTGGCAGAAGAAGTGCAGCTGATCAAGCAATACAGAGCATGTGAAAGTCTCCCTAAAGCTAATTTGCATGTGTTATTATTGAGCCATTCTTGTTAACCCTATTGAACTCTCACAGATGAAGCCTCACACGTGCCACTCCACCCTACGTTAGCCACTTCTCAGCACACAGGATAGATGTTTTGTTTTGGTCGAAAAGGACTGAGTGGAGCTCCTTTCTAAGGCCTGGAACTCCTTCACAGGCCAAGGGCATGGCGTACAACAGTTAGATCTAAACATATGCTCTGTCAGGGAGCCTTTTGTCTCTCCCTGTCCAGTCCCAGTTGTTCCAGTAAATGTTGGCTCTCAACCTTGCTTCTTTCAGTAGACAAAGCTGAGAATTTATTATAGCATCAAGAATTTGTTAAGAACAAAAAGAAGTTCTCTCCAGAGAGCTAGAAGTGCTCTGGAGAATTCACTTCCTCTCTTTAGGATGGATGAGCACTTCACTCCATACCTCATTTACAGTTCTTTCTTAAGTCAAGAGTAGTCCCCATGTCCCCACTGTCCCAGATCTTTATCTGATATCCGCTTACTTAGGAGACACTGGTTTCCTTCAGTCCCTGGCAGGGTTAATGGTGTTGGCCAGGTCAGTTTTCCTTCTGTTTCTCACTTTATCTTCCGGTAATGTCCAGCATTATAAGTTAGAGTTCTGTTTCAAAGTGCATTGGAAACACTATTGTTGAAAAGTGTAAAATAACGGCCATATAGTATTATTATTATTATTACTCTCAGTTGTCACTGGGACTTCACTACTAGAAAAGCTGGATTGTTTCTTACTTTAACATTCTTCAGGTGAACAAAACAATACTGCAGCGGCCCAAGCCATAGTAACAGTACATTAGCCTGGGTAACATCTCTCCTTCTGGCATAGACACACATATATGCACACCCTGTTATGAGCCCCCTTCTGCAGCCTGCGCAACCTGCTGGTTGTCTTTCTGATTTATGAAAGAGATAAGATGAACAGTATTGATGTGGAGATTAGACAACAGGAAATATGAGGCCCTCAACCAGTAGTGACAGGAGGAAATCCACCCTCTCCCCCCGCCCACATCCTTCTCTGTGAGAAGGACGTACACAGAAAGCTGCCAACTCTCCCCTTTGGTTAGCCAGAGGAGCAAAAGGGAGCCCTAATCCACGGATGGGGAAAGGAGAACTGGGAACGCCACAGCCTTCCACTGCCCAACCCTTCTCTATCCACATGCAAAAAAGAGGCCTACGTGTCAAGCAAGGCAATGGAGAATCAGCCCCAGAGACAGGAACATCCCATCGCCAACACCAAGTGGTTAGAATTCATGTGTTAAGCTCCCAAATCATGAGATTGGCTTATAAGACAAGTATTATTATTGCTAACAATAGCTTTTAAATTCAGCCTTTTCCACTTGCTTTTTCCTTTTAAAACTGTCAGGATTAGTACTTTCAAGATCCTTTCCAAAACCAGAATGAACAGAAACATGTTCTATTTTAGAAAAAGCAATTCTGTCCCAGGACCTGAAATGTCAAACCAAACACCAAGGACTGCAACATATGCAGTAAAATAACAATGTGGCTGCATTCCTGTCCTCTCCCTGTAACTTAGGGATGTATTAGGAGCCATCAGCCAGAGGGCAATGAATCTGGGCAGTCTATGGCCTGCACTGCAGTCCCTAAGAACTTTTCCAGTCAGCATTAATAGAAACACTCCTTGAAGCTGCTCCAGTGTGCTCTGTGGACTGACTTCTGCTATCCTACAATCTTGGAAGTGTAACAGTGGCTTTCAAACACTTTTTGCTTCCTCCTTTTGACTTTTTTGACAAAATTCAGGACAACGGCAGATTTAACCCGCTAAATACACTCTTGTGAAGTGCCATATGATAACATGTGTGGAATCCTAACGCACACATGCAGGTATAGCTGTATATTCCCTTCATACACATAAATGCCAGAGGAGTTTTCAGAAATTCTTTTTCCTCCCCTTTGAAATGGATATCCTTTCTACTAACCATTAAAAACAGCACAGAGAGCTCCTTAAACCCCCGTTAAGTCTTCTGGAGCTGAATTCTTCCATCTCACAGACATCAGAGACATGCAGACAGCATTCCCAGCCACCTGCACAGGCATTCAGAAGAGAGGATAAGGCTAATAAGCAGTCTCTCTAATTCCACACAGCCTTCCTCATAGCTTTGTTTGCCCTGAAGTGGTCATCAGTCACTTACTCTGCTGCAAGGTGGGTGGGAGAGCTCGTGCGGAGTTTTCTTCTATTCTTACAAGAGATTCTAGTTTTCTGTCAGTATCTTGGTTACTTCTGCATTTCTCAATGCACTTATTCTTCCCATCTCTCCATTGCAGATTTTAAGCTCCCAGGAAGAGTGGTACAAAGCAGAGCTGAGAAATCAAGAGGGCTACGTTCCTAAGAACTTCATTGATTTTCACGTTCCCCCGTAAGTGTCACAAAAATGGCATGCATCACCACTGCATGTTTTCACAGAGTCCTGTCAAGGGCACGTGTGTTCGCGGGTGTACCTAGGAGAATAAGACACGGGAGGCACTGGTTATAATATACTACAATTAAGGGCTGGCAAAGACTGCTGTAGCACTGTATACGGTTCTGCCAGCACACCTTATTTCTGCCGTGAAACATCTTCTGTTCTTTCGGAGCAGGATGGTACTTTATGCTCTGTATCACTCTCAAGTGGCTCCTTTGTTACTGTTGCTCAGAGGGATGTCGCTGGGATATGGCAAAAACTGCATTTAGCTCTTCTTGGACAGAAGGAGAATTGTCATAATGTGGAGTCTTGGCAACAGAGAAGGAGGCTGAGCAAAAAAAAAAAAAGGAAGAGCGAGAGAACTCTCTGAAAATGAATTACAAAAATGTAGTTTCCCCTGCCCCCAACTCCTAATTAGGTTAACTCTATGTTCCCCACCCTGCCATCCACATTCCCTCTCCCTCGCAAAGCATCTGCGAGTTTCTCTCTATACACTAGAGGTCAGTGCAATGCTACGTGAGATCAGGACATCTGTTGTTACTCATGGATTGACAGAGATGATAGACCAGACATGTCACTCTGCTCCCACACACCCCTCACCCGTCTTCCAGCTTCATGGCTGCGCACCCAGGCATAGACCTGTCAGAGGACAGGCAAGCCCCCATTTCTCCTGCTGGGTAGACAGCACCCTGCTTTCAGTAGGGACCAATATGAGTTTAAATGCATGTTAAATGTGCTGTCCAGCCCTATGCAATAAATAAACCCAAGCATGGGATTTTTAGCTCCTTTTTCTTTCCATTGGTGGAAATCTTTCTTGGTTATAGAGCCCCCTTAATCCTCCTCTTTTGAAAAAGTGCTGCAGCATTGCAGGAGAGAGCAGGCACAACATGCACCATGGTTGGTTCATTGCTAAGCAGTGCATGCTGGTGTCCTGAGCAGGCAAACTGGAAGCACGCAGGGATCCTTGTAGTCCACAGGTAGGTGCCACTGTCCTCTTTAGCGGTGGCACTTACAGACCTGTTTGGACATAAGCCAGCCAAGCTAGTGCAGCTGAAGGACATTATTGGTTTTCTCTCCTGCCTAGACTTGCACTTTTGAGCCTCAAGATGATGAGATCTCTCAGTCAGCTATTACTGTTAACTCTTTCACAGGGCTGTGGCATCACACAGGGACACTGGCAGCTCCTTTCTTCACATGCATTTTTCTCTTGATGTTTTCCCTATGCAAGAGATGGAAAGAAGCATTTCCACTTTGATGCTTTTCTGTGTAGCAGGTCAGCCATTTAAAGCAGTTCAGGACAGATGCTAGAACCAGATGCAGGGGAAAAGGTTATCCCCTGTCTTTAATGGGCCATTTTTTTTCCATTTCTATTTTGTCAAGTAATCATTCATACCAGTTACCAATGCTAATTAAGGTCTAATTTCCCATTGATTGCTGATGGTACATAGGTAAACTGTAATGATGGTAAGGAGAAGAATAAGGAGACTCAAAAGTGGAAGTGTGTGAAGTTTTAACTCCAGAATTTTAATGGAATACAGACAAGCATTGCAGAACTTATTAGCTGTGAACACATATAAGTGAACAAGATTTTTTCTCCTCTACTTACAAGTTGCAATTTCCACTGTATTATTTTACCATTTATGGTGACTTTCCTCATTATATACCTAGCTCTTGCACCAGCAGTTTGTTTTATTTGGCTAAATTTACATAAGTGTGCTTATATATTCTGTGCTTCTGTGGTGCTATAACTCTTGCAAGAGTCAATTTATTAGTACTGAAATTTTCATGCTTTGCTTCTATTAAAAATTTATGTTTGTTCCATGCAATATATCCATCACAGTTCAGCAATTTTCAATCAGTTTACCAGAAATTATTTGAGGTGTAAGTCTGAGAATGATGTGTATATGTGTATATCCATGCACTTTTACAATTTGCAATTGCTCTAGCACTGTACTGAGCCTGTAATTAGACTTCTAGCTGAGTCTTGTTTTTTAACAGGCCAAGGCTTACACCGGTCTCTTTGCACCTATGTGCTTTTACTGCTCAGAGAAAATGGTCTGTAACCATCATAACCCTGTACCTTAGTACGTATGTGGCCAGTGGTATCGTGTAGTATCCTCTGATCTGTTCTGCCTTTCCTTCCCCCCCCCTGCTTATTCCTCTTCTCCCCAGCCTCTACTTTTCTGTTCGTTACCTTAGTTAAACTCCTTATTCAAGTCTCCTTGATTTTTTTCTGCTTATTCCTCTTCTCCCCAGCCTCTACTTTTCTGTTCGTTACCTTAGTTAAACTCCTTATTCAAGTCTCCTTGATTTTTTTTCCACTTGACAGCTGGTTTGATGAGAGAATATCCCGCCATGAAGCAGAGAACAACCTTATGAGCAAAGGAGTTGGTTCCTTCATCGTCCGAGCTAGTCAGAACTCTCATGGTGACTTCTCCATCTCTGTCAGGTATCTGCTTCTTACAGAATCTTCCTACTCCTTTTCTTGGTTAATGGTCTCACTGGTATCTTCTAAAGAGGAATCCTAATGTCACATTGCTTCTTAAGAAGTTTGCATGCTGCCAGTCACTGGCAGAGCTGCTGTGTTGCAAATGAAAACAAATTAGGCATCTGATTCCCAAATGCTTTTGCTTTCTTTCAAGTGACACGGTGAATGCCCCATTACAAAGCTGCATCCCCTGGTGGCCTGCTTCTGGAAAGAGCTGCAGCAAAGCAGATTGTGGTACATGGGACATCTCCCACAGTGCAAAACATGTGCTTTCTATTTGTTCCGTTTGCCTGATAGCTCCAGTTAACTGATCCAACAGTTCCACTACTACCCATAAAGAGCTGACTGGTACATTCTTAACCTATTTCCCAGGTCACTAAGGAGCCATTGAATAGCTTTCAGTCACTAGCAGCCCAACTGTATTTCAGCCATTTATTGTAATCCAGACTTTCTTAGACCCCTTGCTTCGAAGCAGAGCTATTAGTTGTCAGTTGGTTTCCTGATTTTCAGGCAAACACCTGATAATCAATTTTAAGTTAAAGTACTGATTAGCAATGTCTTTTCCAAGCAGTGTGTGCTTTCTCATTCAGGGAGCTTAAAAATTACCAGGGAGAAATACAGGAAAGCATTTTGCAAGAATAGTAACTCTGCTGCGACTCCTCTTTCCAAATCCAGGTGCTTGCTCAAGCCACCTCTTCCTATTCTAGGAGACTTTGGCTACATCTACAGCAATGAACTAAGCACAGTCAGGCACCATTATCTGGCCTTGAGGGCAAGGAACATGACCTGCAGAACAGGATAGCTGCATTCAAGCTGCTCCCTGGGAATGGTTCTTGGTCTGCATGGTCCCCCTAACGATGGCCCAGCGTTATCCAGGAGAGGGCTAGTTGCTTTAGATCGAAACCAACTAACACCAAAACTAGATCACAGTTAGTGCCAAGGTGGAATTCTTCAAATCAGAAGGGAGACAAAGGTGTGGGAGAAGCTGCAAGGGGGAAATCAAGAGCAGAAGTGGGACTGTTAATTTTGCCTTGTAATTGCACCTCATAATAGCTTTTTCTAGTTCTCTTGGGTAAGGAGGTAAGCTTGTAGTCATATATTATGCTGGGTAATGTACAATTATAAAATATAGTGCCCGTCTTCATGTGAATATGTGTGTGTGGCTGTGATGCATATGATGTGAAAAGAGGCAATGTATTTCTTGCAGTCAAAGCAAACTAGATATTAACAGGCACCTGTAAAAACTAGTGGAGAGATTGCAACACTTGCAATCTTTTGTCAAAGGGAACACTGCTGTCTTGCTTATAAAGTACAAAATAAAGTTACTGCCTTTTGTGGACTTGAAAGCTTCTCTGACCTTTATTTCAAAGGGGAAGTTCTAAAGCCGTGTGCTTTGTGCTGATCGTGCTTGTCACTGGGCAGTCCTGCAGTAATGCATGTTTGTAAATAGATGACTCCTTTGAAATACAGAGCCACATATAGTGGCTGTAGTACTGGAGTAGCTCTAGTAGATAGAAGGGCTGCCTTTGCTTTACTTTTCTGGAAGTCTAGATTTGGCTAAAAATCAGCAATGAGCTTTGGAAAATCTCATTCTTTTGGAAAAGACTTTCCAAAAGAAGATAAAGTTGCAATCCAGGTGATGACCTATTACTTTTCCAATCGGATCCAGGCATGAGGATGACGTGCAGCACTTCAAAGTGATGAGGGATTCAAAAGGTAACTACTACTTGTGGACGGAGAAATTCCAATCACTAGACAAGCTGGTGGACTACTACAAGACAACCTCCATCTCCAGGCAGAAGCAGATCTTGCTGAGGGATGACAGCCGAGGAGAGAAGGTACAAACAAACTATCCTTAGGAGTTCCTCAATGAGAAAGCGTGCCACAGAAGGAATTTAACCCTATAAAGATGTCTCTGGGGATCTGTACTTGGAATTCCAATTGCACTATTATGCTGGTGGACCTTGCAGCCTAGATTTATTTTTTGTTATATAATTGGGCAGAATTTTCTGAGTCAGTTTTGGATATCAATAGGAAGTGCAGATCTCAGCAGAGAGGCTTTGCTAGATCTGTGTCAAGGCCCCAGAGACAAAACTCTATGATGCAAAAGGAAGTAGAACTTACCTTATGAAATGCCTGGTGTAAAGAAGATTTGAGAAGCTCTTGGCTCAGGAAGAAAATATGGTTTGGTGGTGCAATAAGGAGTGGGGAAGTAAAAAGCTTATTGGTGGGTTATGTCTGAGAAAGGATTGGTTTCCCAGTGTCCCTGAATGTGCTCTGATTGCAGCTGTTGTTACACCTGAAAGTATACCTGCTCAGAAAAATAACCTGACACAGCAAGGGGTATGGAGGGAGTGAAGGCAAGACCTGGAACAACGGTTGGCAGGGGCAGAAAAGTGCTGCTGAGGAGAACATAGCAGATATGGGAACAAGCTGTTCCCCACAGTGTTCAGGAAAGGTGCAGCAAATATTTTAAAAGGCAGGGAAATACCAGTACAATAAATGCTTGGTTTTGTGTCAGAAGGACAAGCAAGTGACATAGTAAAAAGTGCTCCACATTGTACACACAATGCTGGAAGTGAACTTGCTGGTCATACCAGCAACTTAAGTCCTGCTTTACTAGGAAACGGATTCTGGGATTAAATTACCAGGATATACAAGTAAAGGTAAGTCTGAAAGTATGTGACTTGCTCACTGCAGCAGTAAAATTTTATAGGTACAGGTAGGTTGTTCTTGCCAGGTCCAAAAGAGGATTTATTTTCCAGTGAAAGTGAGGCACATGTTGCTGTCTCCTTCTTAAAACACTTACTCAGTGCTTTAAAATGCATTAGTAAGATATAAAATAGAGATTATGGGACTTATGAGATAAAATCCAGAGCAAATAGGAGAAAGGAAGGAGATATATATATATGTATATGTGTATATTAGTAATATAACCTGTTTGGGCTAACTGTGAACAGGAAAGCAAAAAGGAAAGAGAACAGCATTTGCTGCAAGATGTAGACAGGGAAATGAAAGAACAGGAGTCAAGTTTGCTTTGGCAAACGCTCTGTACATTTGTTATGGTGATGGGCTCAGCAGGGTATGTTTAGCACTCATCACAGTGGGGTTTCAGTTCACAGTTAGAATTTCTGGATGCCACAGCCATATGATAAAATGATAGGAATATACAGATCTCAGTGCAGAGAAAAATGAAGTCTGGTGGTAGTATTTCCAGAAAGAGCTTTTGCTATGCTAGTCCTCAAATCAATGGGGGCATTTTTAACCAGTATACCCCATCACTACCCAGTCTTCAAATGAGGAATGGCTATGGCAGAGATCTAAATTATTGGACTCCTTATTCCTGCTTCTGTCCAGAAGGGTAGGAGCCTTCCTTTGGCAGAGCCTCCAAGGTAACAGCAGTGATAGCGATCTGTCAGCAATGATTGTTAAGCTTCAATCAAGCAGGTGCTGGGAAGCAATATCTGACCCCACTTTCTTCATCTTCTTTCATCAGGAGAGGCATGGTGGGAGCCTGGAACGGATGGGCCGGGAAGGGCTTCACCTGGGTGGAGCAGCTGGAGATGTTCATCATTTTACATCCAAGAGATACGTAGAGCATTCTGTCCCCGTATTGCACCAGCAACAGGTATTGCCAGGGAAGAGGGGCTGGGAGATCAAACTGAAGAATACATAACAAGCCTTGGTTGCTTGATAGTGGATAGTCACCCTGTCAAAGTCCATCACCCTGAATCTGCTGCAACAGGCAAAATCAGTCAAATCTCCACCTGGGATGTAGTAGCAAAGATGGTGTCGGCCTTGGGAGCAATTCGTTGTGAAATAAATATGTGACTTGTTATTTAGTTCTGCTTAGGACTGGTAGACAGATGATCAAATATCAGAAGTCAACAGTGACCCTTTCACTGGGAACCTGGGAGAACTGAGCTCCACCCCAAAAACTGAAAAACAAGAAGTGTCATGTTCTTATATTACTTGGGAAAGGATGAAAAGTAACATCTAAAGAGAGTGCAGAAAAACACACTTGCAAGATGTTGCAAGATCTTGCACACACTTATCAAGTCTGCAGTAAGTGTGTGCAAGATCTTCTACACACTTATCTTGCACACACTTATCAAGTCTGCAGCACAAGTGAAATCTTGCTGCCCGTTTCTTTTTGCTGTGTTACGATACTGACATCTGGCTGTACAAAACACATAAGGGAAGAGAAATCACTGTGTTAACCCTTAAAGGGTTTGGCTTCCTTCAGAACATTCCTCTTCCTTCTTCTGGCAGTAGTGGCTGCGGTCTTCAAAGTACTTCCTGATTTGTCTGGAAAATAGTTTTCCTGGGATTGGCTTTCCTGGGATCTGCTTTTCTATTTTCTTCAGTTAACAGGGCTACTGGACTCTCAGGCCTGCTCTCTGCCTTTCTAGTGTGTGGGGCAGCCCAAACTAAAAGTAGTGGATGTTAGACCTACTTCTTACACCTACTTAGACCTTCAGGTATTTGTATGTATGAATTACCTGAAGTGGTAATACATATACCAGTAATGGGCCTTTAGGTAATACGCAGAGCCACTCCCTCTGCAGAACTAGCACGTGGAAAAGAGTAAGGGCAAGGAATGAGCAGGACTGGGGCATAATAACTGCCGACTGGTGAAAGTCCCCTTAGCAAGCATGGCTTGTCATTTGTGTGTTAAACGGGCTTGGGTTTTCTCCAAACATCCCAGAAGCCAGACACTCTCTTACCCCTTTTCCCAGCAGGTATGGAATACAGCCGAAAACGTTGCTTGAAACAGTCAGTCTTCAACTTCTAGGACAAAAAAATCCAAAACAGAACACTGTAAGATATCTTCAATAAGGACCATTGCTTACAGGACTGCAGTGCAAGAAATATATTAGCAGCAGATATCCAAGATGACTTACATGAGAGCTGAACCCTGATTCCCAGGGCATCAATGACTCTTAAAGCCCCTCATTTATGCAGCTGAGTGTATTCATGGCTTTTCTCTTGTTGCATTTTTAGGATAGGTATGGTGGGAGCCTGGACAGGAAAGATGGGCTGCACGGCCATACAGATTACAGCGCAGGAAGGGCAGCAGCTGTGCAGCGGAGACACACAGAGCCGTTGCACCAGCCAGCACCAGTAAGTGATGTATGATGTACCTGGCCCCATCTGCAGATCTCACTGGCTCCCTAGCAGTGGCTAAGCAATGTCACCTGCAGGGAGATTGCAGGAGGGATAGTATATTACACCTATTGTAATGTGGTCATCTTCCACCTCCAAAGATGTTGCTGTATGTCACGGCTCCATCCCAGCCCCTGAATTTGGTTCTAGAGAACTTTGAGGACAAAGCTACATTGTTACATGAATGTAGGTCTAAGACTGTTCTCCAAACCAGTCCCAGTCAGCATGCAGACATACTGCATGTAGGAGGGGCCTTAGCATAAGCTCTGGGGAGGCAGGAATCCAGAGTCTTTATTATAATCGAGCTCAAAATACCATGTCTTTTATCCCTCAGAGGCTGTGGCAACAAATAACAACATGCCCTTACCTGCCACATCCCAGCAGTGATCAAGAAGCCACCAAGTCCCGTTATAGAATGGTCTATGTGTGTTTAAAATAATTTGAAACCAACCAAATAACCAAGAACTATGTCTGGGTAGGCCCTGAACGCAAGATTTGGCAAAGATAAACCAGGGATCAAACAAAAACTTTCCAACAGGGCTTTAAAAATACACCTGCCAAATTATCCATGACCCATGATGGGGATGCCAACTATTTCCCAGTAAAGAAGTCCATGTTAAATTCTTTAATAGTTGATTTTCAGTCAAAATGGGAAATTGAGTGCAAAGTCTTTTAGGATGAAGCTTTCATAAGAAAACATTCTGATTATAATTCTCAATAAACTGCAAACTCAAAATAATCTGACAGCCAGTCAGTTGCTGAGTCCTCTTGACTTTATCTAACAAGAAAGGTTCAAAGGGCTGCTCAGAACCTGAGCACCATCTCCTTGGTTTCCTAGTAGATCAGTCCATCCTTCCTGTAACGCTGGCCACTTGCTTATTTAATTGCAAGTTGGCCTTTGTTTCAGTGTTGTTTGTCTTCATGTGTAGTGGGGTGTTAGAGGGGTCACAGGAGGGTGACCCCTCACTGTGGGGCTGTAAGAACTGTGGCTCACTGTTCCCTGCCTCTCTCTGTCTCCTCGCCAGCGAACGCTCTGGGTCCGTGCCTTGTACGACTTCGATGCGGTGGAGCACGATGAGCTGGGCTTCCGCAGTGGAGACATCTTAGAGGTCCTGGACAGCTCCAACCCATCGTGGTGGAAAGGGCGCCTGCGTGGGGAATTGGGTCTCTTCCCTTCCAACTACGTCGCACCGATGCACCTCTGAGGGCACAGAGTGCCCCAAAGGGCCATGCTGGAGCTGCTCTGATGTGGCAGGGACAGAGACGGAGCACATGTTCCCTTGTCCCTGGGACATATAGTGTTTTTGTTATTATCTTAATTTATTGGCAATTGATCTTCTGAAGCATTGGTATGAAAGGGAACCTGTGGAAGAGGGTAGAGCTTTTTTTTTCCTTATGCTTTGCTTTCATTATAAGGTAAAGAGCAAGAATCCTGGATTGTTCATTGGGACTTTGCTGGATCCTCCCTGCCGTGTCATCCTTGGCTAAGTATTCATAAATTACTGCAATTAGGTTTGTCCTGTGGAAATGCAGGTTAGGCTTCTGTATTTAGGCAGTCTCACCCCTGTCTTTTGGATCCGGTAGTACACACAGTCCCTTTGGACTCCATGTCATGTTTCTTTCACCTTTTCCCTCATTGCACAGAGGCAGGAAAAACACCTAGGTTAATCAAATGATGGTTGGTAATCCTTCAGGTATTAGGGAAGGGAAAAGGAGGGACCTTAGGGTGAGGTTCAAGGCAGCCTTAATTTTTCTAAGTATTTTCTGCATTACCCTTCTAGTATATTCTGTTGGTATTGACCATGTGAGTATACCTGATGAAGGGATAAGATCCTGTGAGATTTTGTACAAATGGCCCAGTGATGAAGGTATAGAAGGGGGAGAAAGTAATTTCTTTGCTTCTTCTAATAGTCCTGCACTCTTGCATTCCGTAACAACTTGTCCCGTTTTCAAGCTGCTTTCCAAGGTACCTGCATTCCCTGCTAGACATCCTAGTTACAGCAGGTCAGGCTGAGCTAAATGAATACCACTTGATGGGATAACAGTGTAAAAATCACCTGGGGAAAAGTGGGGAAGAAAAGTGGGGGGTTTTGTTTGTTTGTTTGTTTGTTTTGTCTGGTTTGATGCCAGAATTTCTTTCCCCAAGAATCTGCAGTGCTGGGATCACTGTGTACACAACTCCAACTTGCTGGTGGAGTGCCTTATCCAGCAGGCTGATCTATTACTTTACAGTGTGCAGAGAATAAAGTTGTGGACATGAAATAGTCTCTTCACTGTTCCCTTTTTTGAGGGGTGAAATAAGGCAGATGGATAGGTTTTCAAATCATTATTGAGTGAATACCAAGATGTGATACAAATATATTGCGAATGCACATTAAAAATGATCAAACCCTGAGAAAGAGAAATGCTGCTGCAAGAAACACTGCTCATGCAATCTGATATTAAACAAGCTACCTGAGGTTTTCACAACTTTGGGGACCTTGGGATTCAGTAAGGAACTGATGATTTATCATTCTTGGGAAAGAAAGAAAAGTGAAAAAAACCTCTAAAAACAAATCATACTCAGCAAGAGAAATGTTCTTTTATTAGTCAGCATAGAAAGAAAAACAAGAAATAGGCTCGTGGTGCAATCTCATTCAATGTAGCTGGCCCAATTAAGGCTGCCAGCTACATGCAATATTAGCAGAAAAGACTCATTATCAAATATTTGAGAGAACTCCACCAAAAGTGGATTACTAATGGCTGAAGTAAAATGAGAATTAATAAGGCATATATGTGCTAAATAGGATAGAAAACTTTGAAAGACATGTTAAAAGCTTATCTGCAGCCAACAGATGCAGCATTTTGCACAGCAATGTCTGGGTTCTATTTAGGCACCCTGAGAACCTTGTGTTGTGTTGGCTTTCTAGGGACCCTCTGAGGAACAAGAAGATCCTTGCAGGGATAGGTCAAGGGACAGCCTTAGCTTCTGGGAGGCTTTGGCTTGGTGTAGCTGTTGCTAGTGGTCCTGTTGGTTGCCCCTGACTGAGGGAGTTGGGCTTTTTTTCCAGTAGACACCTGATTAGTGTCGATCAAGCACATATTGCATACACTGCATAGTATTCAAGCAGTGAACAAGAGATTTACTGGACTTAAGGAGAGAAAATTTTGGCCTCTTCAGAGACCTTCTTGGAAGAATCCCATGGGTTAGGGCCCTAGAAGGAAGAGGGGTCCAATAGAGCTAGTCAATATTCAGGGATCGCTTCTTCCAAGGTGAAGAGCAGTGTGTCCTAAGGAGCAAGAAGTTGAGCAAAGAGGGCAGGAGACCTGCATGGATGCAAAGGAGCTCCTGGCAAAACTGAAACAGAAGAAGGAAGTGCACAGAAGATGGAAGCAGGGACAAGCTACTCGGGAGCATTTTAGGAATGTCATCCAAGTATGAAGGGATGTGAAAAGGAAGGCCAAGGCCCATTTGGAATTGAATCTGGCATGGGGTGTCAAGGACAGCCAGCAAGGACTGGCTTCTTTAAATACATCAGTACCAAAAGGAAGACTAAGGAAATGTGGGCCCAGTACTGATTGGGATGGGGGCCCATTACTGATGCCGCCTTTGCTTCAGTCTTTGCTGCTGAGACCAGGCGTCAGGAACCCCAGACCTTAGCGAGCACAGAGAAAGTCTACAGAGACAAAAGGTCTACAGAGAAGGTCACAGGAAGACTTGCCCTTGGTTGAGGCGGATCAGGTTAGAGATCTTTTAGGCAAGCTGGACATCACAAGGCTCTGGGCCCTGCTGGGATGCACCAAAGAGTACTGCAGGAGTTGCAGGCACCATTGCTAAGCCACCTTTCATCATCTTTGAAAGGACATGAAGAACAGGAGAGGTGCCTGAGGACTGACAGAAAGCCAACGTCACTCCAGTCTCCAAAAGAAGGGCAAGAAGGAAACTGCAGGCCACTCGGCCTCACCGTCTCTGGAAAAATGATGGAACAGCTTACCCTGGATGCCGTCTCTAATCATGTGAAGGATAAGAAAGTAATCAGCAGTAGTCAGCATGGATTCACCAGGGAGGTTGTGGAGTCTCCTTCCTTGAAATATTCAAAAGCTGTTTGGACACAATCCTGGGCAATGTGCTGTAGTTTTGCTTGAGCAGAGGGCTTGGATTAGATGATCTCCAGAGTCTCCAGAGGTCCTTCCAACCTCAACTGTTTTGTGAAGAGTGTTTTGGTTTGTTTCATTTGGTGTGGGGAGGGTTCAAGGCAATGCCAAATTTGGAAGACAGTATTTAATATTCAGGGGGAGAGAGGACCAAAACTGGGGAAAGATGAAAGCAAATTAAAAATACAGACCCCTTGAAAGCAGAGTAACATGAATAGTGACTTTTCATGTTCAGGTCTGAACATGAACTCGGGAGCTTTCTGTATCAGGGTTAAACAGAAGAAATGGTACATTCATTCTTCTTATTCCTACTGCTTCAAATCATCTTTAGATTAATTTTCTTCTTTTTTTTAATGAGAGTTACTTTTAAAATTGGAACCAATGCCTCCTTTTCCTGTCCTCAGTGCTCTAAAGACCCTCTTGGTAGTGAGGATGTAGTTGCACAAAATTAATTGAGGATAATGCACTTAGCACTTCAATAGCTCTTCAAACATTTGAAACCCCTTTACAGAGATTAACTAATTAAGCAAGTCTAAGTAGTACATTGTAATTACCCCCATGTTAGGCGATGGTTCTTTTGAGAAAGAGGTAAATTTCCACATGATTTTTCAATAGACCTTTAAGGAATTAATACTTAAGTCAGTTAGCAATATGTGACTCGCTAATTATGGACAACACAGCAAGACCACAGTAAAATTTTGATTTCCCATTACAGGCAGCACCTGTAATGACACCAAAATTAGAAGGCTCCAAACACATCATGGCATCTGTGATAAAGAGATGGTCTCTAGTGCCATGTTCAGCCCTACCTGTGGAGCTGGCCTGGCCTTGGTCGGCAGGACCCGGCCTGCCCCGTCTCTGCTTCCTTCCCCGGGGCAGAGGCAGTGCTGCCTGCAGGCACCGCACGCAGCAGCAGCGGGAGGCACAGGAGCCAGGCTCCATTTCTGCATCTTCCCCTAGGAGAAGGAGTTCTCCTCCCAGCAATACAGCACTGAGCAGAAGCCCTTCCCACGTTGAAGGAGTCTGTGGATGCAAGGAGAAAGGGCAAGTTCTGCTTGGGATAGAAGGTGCTGGATCCCACAGGATGGAAAAGTTGTTCTCCATGGCCCACACTGTTGTCTACTGGAGTCTTCCCATGAAATAAGAACTCAGGTCAGTTAATAGCAGAAAGGATTTGAGACACACACAGGCTGTTCTTGTCAATGCACATATCCCGCATTTGTCAGTTTTGGTCAAGAATTAACCCTTCTGCCTACAGCCTCACAGAGCCTGCTGTGAAACCAAAAAGGGAAGGAATAAAGAATCCAGGGAAATGTTTTGCTTAGTATTTGTCTTAGGCAAGAAAGACAGTTCATGAGAAGAGAGATTGTAAGCAGAGATAAAAGTAGGAAAAGTACACGGGAAGACAAACATAGCTGTAGAAAATGAAACAGAAGAAGCTGACCTGCCCATGGAAGAATAAAAGTTTGATGAGCACAGCTGAGCTGAGCTTTCTCCTCTCTGAATGAACTTTTCACCTCCATCTGCTGCAGAAGTATATTTTGTTTATAAATGTCTCCATGATTAATAAGGTTGAGCAAAAAAAAGCAGCAAATGGAAATATTCCATGCTCAAGCCATCCACAGAGATTTCACTGTTACGGGATAGAGCTGTTGCTGTCTTGGTGCGCAGTCACCACCATGGCCGCGCTCGCCGCAGTGCACAGCAGAAGCCACAGGAACGTGCGTCGCTCAGGCTGCCTGCTCAGCCCCTCTGCAAGAGGGATACGAACCCAGTAATACAACAAGTTCCTGGGTTTTTGTTGTTGAGTTTTTTTTTCTTTAATTAAAAGTGGTTTTCTATTGCAGCATGCAGCCTTCCACAACTGACACCTGTTTGCCATTTCTTTCTGTTCAGCAGCGCCTCTCGGCCTTCATTCCCAAAGGGATCCTGATAATGCAGGATCTTGGGAACTCAATTTGCCTCTGGTCCTTGTGGAGTGCAACCAAGGGTGGCAAGCAGAAGGTCCAGCAGCCAGGACCATGTGGCCAAGAGAAATGAGCCTTGAACAGCAACACGGTACCAGTCTGGGACCTGGCAGCACCAGCTCTGAGATGAGTTGAGGGGTGAGCTCTACACCCCAGTGGGAAGTGACAGGTCCTTAATTATATCAACGTCACTTCACAAGGACAGCAAGGACATCTAGCGAGACAGATGTGGCCACTTGGGTTAGGGTTGCGCTCAGATTCTTGCAC